AAAAAAAAAAAAAAAACAAAGCGTGCTGGAAGTAATGGTTTTGTTTTTCACGAGGCATAAGATACCTCCAAAACTGAGGGCCGTACCTTCGTCTTTCTCCTCTCCTTGGAATTTTGCTTTACTCTTTTGCTGGCCTTTGGGCAGCTGAGTTTACAAAGAGTAGATTGATACCACAAATTCACTTGCTTTTGCCCTGTAATTATACTTCAACATACAGCTTTTTATTCTGGGTTTGCTTCAGTTTCTGCAATTTGCAATGGTGGAGTATATCTATTTCCTCAACAAGGTACCCTTTTGATTCTCTGCTTTCTGTCCGTTTCTTTTTTTTTTTTTTTTTTTTTTTGCTTTGTTTTACAAAAAGAAGTGGGTTTTCATTTGATGCTTGAAAAAAGTTGGTGTTTTGTGAGATGGGTATGTGGTATTTCTTATTTGGAGGATGATAATGGTCTGAGGAAATTTATCTGCATTTTGTTTTATAATTTGTCATTCAAAGTTCTTTTTTTAAGTAGTTATTTTCTGTTTTGTGAATGATTGGTGGTTGTGCAAGATATGTGTCTTTCTGGGATCAAAGGAGAATGCCTTTTTACCTCTCTCTCCATGTTGAATCTGAGTTTTTCATTTTTTTCATCATTGTGTCTCCATGAAAATAGTTCTTTCTTTTACGTCAATTTACTTAATTCATGTTATTTTGTTGGTACAGGATACTGTAATTACCAAGCCTCCTAAGAAATCTCCATTGTTTTTAAGGACTGTAGTTGTATTATTTGCAATGGTGTGTGGTGTCTGTATCTGCTTGATCTGTTTAAGGCAGATAGGGTCTATAACTGTGATTAAATTTCAAGACATCCAAATTACTGAGAAGTCTTCTCAAGATAGTCACATTGGAGAACCAGAAAGGCAAATTCCTCACCTGCATTACCCTATACCCAAAACTTTTAGCAGGTAACTGAGAATGTTGTATTTTGTTTTTTGGGTTTTGGGTTAATTTTAAGTTTGCTTAAGATTTTCTTTGGTGCTTTAACAGGGGTGAGTGTGAGCATAATCCAGTGCGATTCTTTGCCATACTGTCAACGCAGAGATCAGGGAGTGGATGGTTTGAGACATTGTTAAATAGTCATGTGAATATAAGTTCAAATGGAGAGATATTCTCTGTGATGGGTAGGAGGGAGAATATTTCGACAATTATAGAGACTTTAGACAAAGTTTACAATTTAGACTGGTTTACTAGTGCTTCCAAGAATGAATGCTCTGCTGCAGTTGGCTTCAAGTGGATGTTCAATCAGGTAAACAATGTTTTTGAATTAAGACCTGTGAATTGTAACCACTCACTATTATTTAAGAACATGAAATTTAGGTCATCAATTAGCACAGTTGTAAAACACATGATGTCTTCTTCAAATTTGGCAAAAGAAAAACTGATCCTCTATATTTTCTGATTAAGATTAGGCATAGTATGGTGCAGGCACTTTGAATGTTGTTTACTCTTCTTGCTGTGAGTCTTGACCAG